GGATCGTGGGTACGCGCGACGTGGATGATGCACGCGATTATGCGCCAGGCGAGGAGTCGGGCTCGCAGGGGCGCGCGGGCGTTGGCACGGACGCGCGCGAGAAAGTCGGCAGGGACGAGGCGCGCGATAGGCGCGTGAGTATGGGCTACGCAGAAGAAGTCCTAAGCCGCGAAGGATTAGGCAACGCGGGCGATGCGCTGGCAGGAGCGGACGATCGAGTTCTAGCAGGCATAGGAGTGCTGAGAGGTGAAGGACACGCTCGCGGGACGGACGACACGAGCGAAGCGCGCGCAATGGCGTGCGCGTGTGAAGGGCGCGCGCGAAGCCTAACTGCCGAAGGACTAGGAGAGCACGAGGGGCGGCGCACGGATGACGCGTGCGACGCGGAAGGGAGTGAGGCGGCGGCGAGAGTTTGAACATGTGGGATTTTAGGGAGCATCCTAGATATACATGGAGTGCAAGTCAAGACAATTAGTTATTTGGTAATATTAGGATTTTATTTCCATGTTGCTTTTATTTATTAGTAGTAGAAGATGTTAGGAGATTTATTAGCTTTAGGATTTATATTGTTGCATGGAATAGAAGATCTAGATCTATTAGGCTTAGAGGTAGTTGGCATCTATAAATACCCCATGTACCTCATCATATTTGAGAAGTTGAATTGAGTATTGAATTGGTGAGCCAATTGAGGGTAACTTTATGTTCTAACGTGTGATAAACAAGGCCGTCAGGGCGTGTTTACATACAGTGTCGGAGAGAAGGCCCTGAGAGCATCTCGAAGTCACAGTGTCTAGAAGAAGGCCCTGAGCGCGTCTGCTAGATACACCTATCGTGGATAAACGAAGACCCCGAGTGCGCCGTTTATTCACAACCCACGTATAAATAACAACACCGATCAACGGTCCTTCATCATTGGTGCTCTCGTTGAGAGTTGTTTCATTGAGAGGTGCTGATCGTGTTTTAATTTATCCTATCTTTTTCTTTTTTTCGGTTTGCCTTTTGTTGAGGGGCCGAATTTCTTTATTGTTTCGATTTTTTGAGTCTTGTTGGGGGTTCGAATTTTCAAATTTTTACCCCTATTTTGTTCGAATTTTTTTTAGAGTCAACAAAAAAAAAATTATGTCTTACCCACCAATGGATGAGTTGGATTGGGAAGATCTGGAGATGTTGGAAGGTTTGGAAAGAGAGCTCACACCATGGGAAGCAACATATCTTGATGAGCTTCATGAGCGAAGGAATATTGAAGAGTATGAACATCAACTCATGGAAGCCCGAGAAGCGATGGTGGTTGAGGATCCAAACGGTGACGAAGGTGCGCTTAATTTTCTAATCCTTGAGGACAAGGAAAGTCTCGAAGAGGAGGGGAATGATACGGAAGTGGTCATCAACCCCGGTGAGTCCGACGATGATGATGGCGATGGTCTTGATATTTGGTTGGAGAACATGTTGGAAGAGCCATCAAGCCCGATTTACCGGCCATCATGTGTACGAGATTGGCCAAAAGGATGTGGTCCACGAGCTAAACTCAAGCCTAGGAAGCGCAGGACCAAAAGGACTTGAAGGAAACACAAGGAAAAGGCTAAAGAAGAAAAATGTAGGTGCGAGCCTTGTGCAAAGAAAAGATGAGCTCAAAAGAAGGAGGCTAAAAGGCGTGGTTTGCGATGGGTTCAAAGTGGATGGTGGATACCGGCGGATGATTGTGTGAGGTTGAAGGGTTGGGATCCGTGGCCCGAGCCAACGGGGACGGACGGTGACAAAGAAGGCGAGGATGATCGGCCAACGGGCGAAGGGCGCGCATCGGCCCGTGATGCGCGCAGCTGGACCAAACAGGCCACACACGGGGACGCGACGAACGAACGAGTCACGAGCATCGACTGGGACGCATTGGCATTTGGCAGTCGGAGGGAACAAGGTGTACGCGGGTACACGGCTGAGGAGCGAATCGTGGGTACGCGCGACGCGGATGATGCACGCGATTATGCGCCAGGCGAGGAGTCGGGCGCGCAGGGGCACGCGGGCGTTGGCACGGACGCGCGCGAGAAAGTCGGCAGGGACGAGGCGCGTGACAGGCGCGCGAGTATGGGCTACGCGGAAGAAGTCCTAAGCTGCGAAGGATTGGGCAACGCGGGCGATGCGCTGGCAGGAGCGGACGATCGAGTTCTAGCAGGCATAGGAGTGCTGAGAGGTGAAGGACACGCTCGCGGGACGGACGACACGAGCGAAGCGCGCGCAATGGCGTGCGCGTGTGAAGGGCACGCGTGAAGCTTAACTGCCGAAGGACTAGGAGAGCACGAGGGGCGGCGCACGGATGACGCGTGCGACGCAGAAGGGAGTGAGGCGGCGGCGAGAGTTTGAACATGTGGGATTTCAGGGAGCATTCTAGATATACGTGGAGTGCAAGTCAAGACAATTAGTTATTTGGTAATATTAGGATTTATTTCCATGTTGCTTTTATTTATTAGTAGTAGAAGATGTTAGGAGATTTATTAGCTTTAGGATTTATATTGTTGCATAGAATAGGAGATTTAGATCTATTAGGCTTAGAGGTAGTTGGCATCTATAAATACCCCATGTACCTCATCATATTTGAGAAGTTGAATTGAGTATTGAATTGGTGAGCCAATTGAGGGGAACTTTATGTTCTAACGTGTGATAAACAAGGCCGTCAGTGTGTGTTTACATACAGTGTCGGAGAGAAGGCCCTGAAAGCGTCTCGAACTCACAGTGTCTAGAAGAAGGCCCTGAGTGCGTCTGCTAGATACACCTATCGTGGATAAACGAAGTCCCCGAGTGCGCCGTTTATTCACAACCCACGTATAAATTGTTAGAGGTATGCTGTAAAAGCTGTGTTTTGCAGTTTCTATCAATT